GTCCTATTCCTGGTTTGATCTTTAAGTTTGCCTGTCCATAAATTTTGTTCTGTTAGTACCAGAAATGATTGGTTCTTAGGAGTTGTATAGAATTGAATTATACTAATGTAAAATGGAAATTAGAAGCACTACATGGAGGTATGGAAGTCATTAGTGCTGTTTGTCAATATTTCTGCTCTTCGCTTCCCAAACACACTATAGGATCGTATATCCTCCTCCCTGTGGTTGGCTGAGACATGTGTCTAGTCGTGATGAGGAGTTGGGTTTGGAAGCAAACACTTACTTGCAGGGAGAAGACCTTCCAGAGTTCTCTTTCCTTTGTCACTGTGCCTAGCAACTTTTGAGGGGGTGTCTGCTCCATCAGCCTGGCTCCTTGAGCGACTAACAAGCAAAGCCCTCTGCCAGCCCTCAATGGCAGTGTGAGCAAGGAACAAAGCTTTACCATCAAAAGTCACTGAGACTTGAAATTTGGTTGTTACTGAAGCATGACTTAGCCTGTTGTCATGGTACAGAGGAGATTTTAACATTAGCATATTTAACATATTTAATCTCTAATTAGAATCAACTGAAGTTAAAAGATTGCTATTAGAAACTAATCACAATAGAAGGAAATAATTATATATCTCAGCTGTTATACAACCCTTGATTAAGGGTACTGTGATGTTCAATATTATTAACACTCCCTTCTCCCAGACAGTCTGAGCTAGGCAATGCCAACATGTACCTTCTCCTTTTCTACACTTTGTTTTATTTATTAAGTTTTTATTTTAATCCAATATGGTTAACATACAGTGTTATATTAGTTTTGGGTGTACAATATAGTGATTCAACAATTCCATAGATCACGTGGTACTCATCATGGTAAGTGCACTCCTTAATCCCCAACACCTATTTCCCCCATCCCCCCCCCCCTCTGGCAACCATCAGTTTGTTCTCTATAGTTAAAATCTGTTTCTTGGTTTGTCTCTCTCTTTTTGTCCCCTTTGCTCATTTGTTTTATTTCTTAAATGCCACATATAACTGAAATTATATGTCTTTCTATGAATTATCACTTAGCATTACACTCTTTAGCTCCATCCATGTTATTGTAAATGGCAAGATTTCATTCTTTTTTATGGCTGAATCATACACACACACACACACACACATGCACACACACACACACACACCACATCTTCTTTATCCATTCATCTACCAATGGATATGTGGACTGCTTCCATAATTTGGCTATTGTAAATAATGCTGCAATAAACATAGGTGTGCATATATCCTCTTGAATTAGTGTTTTGGGTTGTTTTTTTTTTGTTTTTTGGGGGTTTTTTTGCATAAATACACAGTGGTGCCATTACTTTTTTTTAATTTTCTGAGGAAGCTCCATACTGTTTTCCACAGTGGCTCCACCAGTTTGCATTCCCACCAACAGTACACAAGGGTTCCTTTTTCTCCACATCCTCATCAATACTTGTTTCTTCTGTTGTTGATTTTAGACATTCCAATAGGTGTGAGATGATATATTGTGGTTTTGATTTGTATTTCCCTGATGATGAGTGTTGTTGAGCATCTTTTCATGTGTCTGTTGACCATCTATATGTCTCCTTTGGAGAAATGTCTGTTCATGTTTTCTGCCCTTTTTTTAATTGGATTATCTGGTTTTTGGGTGTTGTGTTTTGTAAGCTCTTTATATATTTTGGATACTAACCCTTTATCAGAGATGTCATTTGCAAATATCTTCTCCCATTCCATAGGTTGCCTTTTAGTTTTGTTGATTGTTTCCTTCACTATGTAGAAGCCTTTTATTTTGGTATAGTCCCAATAGTTTATTTTTGCTTTTATTTCCCTTGCCTCAGGAGACACATCTAGAAAAATGTTGCTATAGCTGTCAGAGAAATTACTGTCTGTGCTCTATTCCAGGATTTGTATGGTTTCTGGTCTCACATTTAGGTCTTTCATCCATTTTGAATTAATTTCTGTCTATGGTGTACAAAAGTGGTCCAGTTTCATTCTTTTGCATGTAGCTGTCCATTTTTCACACCACCATTTGTTGAAGAGACTGTCTTTTTCCCATTGCATATTCTTTCCTCCTTTGTCAAAGATTAATTGACCATATAATTGTGGGTTTATTTCTGGGTTTTCTATTCTGTTCCATTGATCTATGTGTCTATTTTTGTGCCAGTACCATTCTGTCTTGATCACTACAGCTTTGTAGTATGATGTGAAGTCTGGAGGTAGTTTTTCTCCAGTTTTGTTTTTCTAAGATTGCTGTGGCTATTCAGGGTCTTTTGTGGTTCCATACAAATTTTAGGATTGTGTGTTCTAGTTCTGTGAAAAATGCCGTTGGTATTTTGATAGGGATTGTATTGAATCTGTAACTTGCTGTGGGTAATATAGACAGTTTAACAATATTTGTTCTTCCAATCCATAAGCATGGAATGTCTTTCCATTTCTTTGTGCCTTCTTCAATTTCTTGCATCAATATGTTTTATACTTTTTAGACTACAGATCTTTTACCTCTATGGTTAAGTCTTATTTCTAGGTACTTCATTATTTTTTGGTGCAATTGTAAATGGGTTGTTTTATTAATTTCTTTTTCTGCTGCTTCATTATTAGTATATAGAAGTGTAACAGATTTCTGTACATTGGTTTTGTATCCTGTGACTTTACTGAATTCATTTATCAGTTCTGGCAGTATTTTGGTGGTCTTTTGGATTTCTATATAGAGCATCATGTCATCTGCAAATAATGAAAGTTTGACTTCTTCCCTGCCACCTTGGATGCCTTTTATTCCTTTTTCTTGTCTGATGGCTGTGGCTAGGAGTGCAGTACTATGTTGAATAAAAGTGGTGAGAGTGGACATTCTTGTCTTGTTCCTGACCTTTGGGGAAAAGCTGTCCATTTTCTCCACTGAGTATGATGTTCACTGAGAGTTTTTCATATATGGCTTTTATTATGTTGAGGTATATTCCCTCTAATGCTACTTTGTTGAGGGATTTTATCATGAATTGATATTGTTCTTTGTCAAATGCTTTTTCTGTATCTATTGAAATGATCATATGGTTTTTATCCTTTCTCTTATTGATATGAAATATCATGCTGATTGATTTGTTAATATTGAATCACCTTTGCATCCTGGGAATAAATCCCACCTTATTGTGCTGAATGACTTTTTTTAATGTATTGTTGGATTCAGTTTGCTAGTATTTTGTTGAGGATTTTGGCATCTGTATTCATCAGAGATATTGGCCTATAGTTCTCCTTTTTTGTGGTGTCTTTATCTGGTTTTGGTATCAGGGTAATGCTGGCCTCATAGAATGAATTTGGAAGTTTTCCTTCCTCTTATATTTTTTTAAAAGAATAAGTATCAACTCTTCTTTAAGAGTTTGGTAGAATTCCCCTATAAAGCCATCTGGTCGTGGACTTTTGTTTGTTGGGAGTTTTTTGATTACTGATTCAGTTGCCTTGCTAGTAATTGGTCTGTTCAAATTTTCTATTTCTTCCTGCTTCAGTTTTGGTAGGTTATATGTTTCTGGGAATTTATCAATTTCTCCCAGGTTGCCCAATTTGTTGGCATAAATTTTTTCATAATATTCTCTTACAATTGTTTATATTTCTGTGGCATTGGTTATTATTTCTCTTCTCTCATTTGTGATTTTGTTTATTTGAGTCCTCTTTCTCTCTCTCCCTCTCTCTCTCTTTGATGAGTTTGGCTAGAGGTTTATCAATTGTATTCTTTTTTTCCAAAGAACCAGCTCCTGGTTTCATTGATCTGTTCTATTGGTTTTTTGTTTTTGTTTTTGTTTTTTAGTTTCTATACCATTTCTTTCTGCTCTAATCTTTATTTCCTTCCTTTGGCTGGCTTTTAGTTTTGTTTGCTCTTCTTTTTCTAGCTCCTTTAGGTATAAGTTTAGGTTATTTATTCCTTTTCTACACTTTTCATTGTTCACTATGCCACCTTCTGATGGTTACAGTCTTTCTTTAATTGTTGCTGCCTTTATTTTAAAAGTCATACGGTTATTTAAAAAATGAACAGTTTAGAATCAAATGAAAAAGATCTGCTTTCTCTCCTCCCTACTAGCCTACTTAATTTAACTTAATTTAACTTATTTACCTGTTTCTTTTTAATGACAACAGAGTTTTACTAACCTACTTCCTAAGGTTGAGTTTGGAGTCCACCCCTCCAGGCATTTTCTTTGCAGTTCCAAACACAAATGAATCCCACTCTTCATATTGTTCTACATCTTGTTTTTTTACTTTGTTTTTCAAGTATCTATTCATGTTGGTGCATATTTACCTGTTTCTTTTTCTTTTTAATTACAACAGAGTTTTCTATTTCAAAGATTTACTATCCTTAATTTAACTGGTTGCTGCTGATAGACATTTTTGGTCTTTCCAATCTTTTGCTATTGTTAACTTGCACAAGTGTGCAAATTAATCCAGAGGGAAAATTCCTAGAATTGGAATTCTGAGTTGCAGGGAATTTGCAGCTTAAATGCCAATAAATATTGCCAATTCCTTTCCCAAAGGTTGAATCAATTGAATGGGATTGTATATCAATACAGTGTGAGAATTCTTTTTCCACTGTCAAGAACACAGGATACTATGAAACATTTTTAAATCTCTGCCCTTATAATCAAGGAAAAGAGGTGTTTTGTTATGGTTTAAAGTGTATTTCCTTAATTATAGGTGAGTGTGTGCTTGTTCTTTCTTTAAATACGTTAATACTTTTAGTATAGTGAGGCCTAAGTGGATTCTTTGTCTTTAAGGTGAGTTGTTTTTATTATTTGAATCTTGGAGAATAGCCTTATTTTTAAGCATCAAAAAAGTACCTCAGTGTTGTTATTATTCATTTACTGAATAAACAGAGCTCACAGCATTTCTAAGACCTTGATATATATATTGCCACTGGGATGTTTTATAATGACTTCATCCAAGGCAGACGGGCTGGGAATTGGCCAGCCCTTTCACCTCTCAGTTAATTGATGTGACATATTATTTCATTGCAGCAATTCAGCTTTGTGTCCTTGCCCACTGATGTATTGGAAATTGAGGTGAAGGACAAGTTTGCTAAGAGCCGCCCCATCATCAAGCGCTTCTTGGGAAAGCTGTCGATGCCCGTTCAAAGACTCCTGGAAAGACACGCCATAGGGTAAACCTGTGACTGAGACCTCAATATCACTAAGTCTTCAGCGAGCAGGCAAAGGGAGGCCTGCAAGCTGCAACAATGTAGTCTCGCGGAGACTCAAACTAAAATGGTGGTATTGAATTTCCTTGGCTTCTCCCATTAATTATGTTGCTCCAGCCACAACATTCAATTAAATGAACCCTTCCCTTTCCTCTTGTTTGTGTACCACTGGTTACTTATGCAAGAGAGTAGAAAATCCCAAGACAATATTAAAAGAAGCCCTGTTTCAACTATTCAACTCTGCTGTTATAGCATGAAAGCAGCCCCAGACAATAAGTAAACTAAAAAATGGGGCATTTTTCTATACAGGTAGAAATTAAAATTTGCTTTACTATAAAGAATATTATTTCTGCTTGTGTGTAGGATTTAATCATTTGGGACGCTCCTCTAACAAGATGAAATCCTGGGTTACTAGAGTAGAGAGACTTAGAAAATGCTAGTATTTGTAGAAAATGCTAGATAATATGTATGAAGTTTTAAAAGCATGAATTCTCATGGATGACAGCAATTAAGTTACTTGCAGAATTCAGTTGTATATAAGAATGTTTCTGTTAGTATCTTTTATTTTCATGTCCTCTCATGATTCTCATTAAAATGGACTCTTACCAGATGAAATATTTCTATATAGTATATACTTCCTTAGTTAGCAGCAACTATATTTGTAAATGCTAAGTATAGCTCTCTGGCCATAAATCTACGCTATGCCATGCTATACAATTGTAACCCTTAGAATGATATCGAAGGAATGAGGAGAATTGGCAGAAAAGCCTGGAACAAATGCAAAGCATAGCAAATTTAGTTTTTGTCTCACTGCCTGGTTGTCTTTAGGCATCTCCTGATTTCAACTAGGTTTTGGGTTCAAGATCTCTTTCCGATGGTCATAAGTAGATTTGCTTCATAAAATTGACCAAGGTCCTTTCTAAATAAACAAAATATTGTGGTTCATTCTGTTTTCCTACATATAATGCTTTATTTAATGGACCTCCTAGGAACTTCAAACACTAAACTACGGTTTACCAAAGAAATATATTAACTTAGAGTATCATTGGGATATATGTTGTTTCATAATGCTGGTATTTTCTAGAAACATTAAAACACTACCAGCCAGCAACTTACCTTTTTATTTTAGTATGACCAATGAATAAATGGAATGAATACAGAATCACCTGAGTTACAAACGGTTTTGGAATATGTCTTGTTAGTATTAGATAAACTGGATTTGTTAATTCTTGAATAGCCAAGGTAGTTACCTTTCCTATTTAAACCAAGGTGGGGGTGGGGGGGCGGGTAATGTACTCTGCTAAAGCTTACATTGTTGATGAAACTGTAAAAGCAAACTTTCAAGTTGATTCCCCCTGGATAATTCTCTTCTTTATAATCAAGAAATTGCCCTGAGTGGGCAGAGGGGATGATGCCAGATGCCAGGATGGAGTTTCAGAATCTGTATGTAGGACTGTGGAGTTGGTGTAACTGGAAACCAACCTACAAGTCTTGCTTCAGTCCATCCTGCAGCAGGTCCCTTTCTGAAGCACTCCACAGCTCTCCACACCGCTCCAGTAACCATGACAGCATCCTTTCTTAGACACTATGCATATACTGCAAGACATGCGTCTGTTGCTGGCAATGTCCATTAAGGGCATTGGAAAATGTCAGCCTGCACAAGAAAAGCAAGCAAAGATATCCATGTCTTTTTTGTTGTCATTGTTGTCTTTTTGGGGTTTTCTTGGCTTATAACACAGGCTGGCAGAAAACCTTCTGTAAGGGGCCAAGTAGTAAATATTTTAGGCTTTGTGGACCATGCAGTCTCCGTTTCAACTATTCAACTCTGCCGTTGTAGCCTGAAAGCGGCCCCAGACAATAAACTCATAAGCATGGCTGCATTCTAATAAAACTTTTATTTTGGGAACTGAAATTTGAATTTCAGACAATTTTCCTGTGTCACAAAATATTATTCTTCTTTTGTTATTTTTTTTTTCTAACCATTTTAAAATGTAAAACGCTCATAGCTGTACAAAAATAGGTGGTGGGCCAGATTTGAGCCCTGGGCCACAGTTTGCTCACTCCTGCTTTAGAATATTCAATAAGGATTTTCTTGACGTTTTTCATTGCTGTTGAGCAGATGTACTTTCCCACCTTTACCTTATGTCCATCTTCTATGCACCTGAGCGGATCATCACCTCCTATTAGCAGGGCCTCCCCGGACTTGCCTATCTCACCTCCTGGCATAGAAAGCATGCTGTGTAATCTTCAAGGAGAGGTATTGACCAGATCTGTAAATGGTGCTTATTTCCTTCTAGGGATAGGGTGGTCAGCTATACACTTGGCCGCAGGCTTCCAACAGATCATGTGAGTGGACAGCTGCAATTCCGATTTGAGATCACGTCCTCCATCCACCCAGGTATTTTTGGCATGAACTTCATGTCTTGTCCTAGCCTAGGGTTGGTGTGATTCCTTTCTCTAAAATATAATAACCATGGTTCTCTCCAGACATGTCCTAGGTTTTGTGGTTCTCTCTCTTCTCCATTTGAGGCCCAGAAGCCAGTGATCTGTTCTGGAAGCCAGGTTGCTGTCCCCTTGATTGAGAGGCCCCTCTTCATTCTGGTGACGCAAAGGTAGAGCGTTAGACAGTGGAGTGGGATTTGACAATGAGGCCAACACGGGTATGGAGCCGTGTCTCATTTATCATTTGACTCCCAGCACCCACATAGGAGATGCTCAATAGATGCTTAATCATTGCATACATGAATGAATCAATGAATCAATGAATCAATGAGAAACATGAATGAATGTGATACATATCATATTATTGAAGAACTATTATTGCACAATGGATTTATCCCAGGGAAAAATGAAAAATAGAAGTTAGAAAACTTCAGAATCATCCAGTTTTCTGTTTTTCAAGCCAAAACGTATTTCCGAATAAGAATGATGAGAGGCCTCATAATTCCACTTTTGTTCTTCTCCCACAACCCCTATACTAAGTGTAGATCATGCTGAGAATTAGCCAGTCCTTCTGGGCCACATTTATGAGTTGCTGGTAAAGCTAATGAGGCTTTGAAAACTCCAAGTCTGTAGTTTATCACTGCCCACTCATTAAAAGACCAGTTATACTTGTCTATATCCAATATATAATGCAGAGTGTAAGAAAACACCCTGACTGCTTTGTCCTTTCACACCCAGCCTTTTCTTCATCCTGAGAATAAAACTGACTCTTCCTTCACCGTAGCAGTAAAGATGGCCTCATGGCTCATCAGAGACATCATTCATCTTCAATCAGTACATTGCACTAGTGCTTCTGAAATGGGAAGTTCACACCAGGCAGGGATCCAGCAGAGCAAGCAACTGGGGGAAAGTAGAAGTAAACAGTGGTTGCTGTTCCTTGAATGGTTGCTTGATGTGGAGACCTTGTTTATTTTCCATTGCAATAACCCCCAGGTGGCCTGGCAGTCTGAGCTACTGAAGGACCCTGGTTGCTCCCATCAACTAGCCATTTTCTGCTCTGCAGTTGTTAAGAACCTGGCTTACCCATTCTGCCACCTGCTGGACCCAGCCAGAGGAGACACTCTGCGCAAGCATTAACCTTGTCTGGTACGGCAAGGCACTAATAACCCCCAAGGGCTTCTCTGCAGTCTTCCCTGAAGCAAACGTTGTTGGGCACCCACTATGGGCCAGGAACTGGGGTAGTTCTAGGCTTTGGGTATTTTAACCAAAACTATGAATTCCCTTGAAACAGAATTCTGAAATATGTCACGACTGCAAATTATCATTAACATAAGGAGAACTCACTAACATAACCTAATAAAATTTAAAAAACAAAAACAAAAACATGAGAACTCATCCTTACAGAATTTTTTAGCAGAGCTCTGGCCTACGGGAAACCCTCATCAACGCCTGCATCCAATATCCTCACGCAGAAGTCCTTTAGGATGGCTTACAGGGCCGGCAGAGTCCACCAGTGCCCTAACCGCACAATGCTCTCTTCTGGAAGAAATGACATTTTCTTCTCGCCCGCAGATGACGAGGAGATCTCCCTGAACGCCGATCCTGAGTCCGCGGAAATTCGGGACAGCCCCATGAACAGCCTGGTGGCCAGCAGCCGCGGGGAGCCTCCGGGCGAGGCACTGGAGCCCTCCGGGAGCTCGAAGCCCGAGCCGCCGAGCCAGGGCAGTGCCGGGGACGCTGCCGGGAGCGAGAGCCTGGAGCTTGCCGAGCCGGTTGAGGAAGCGGCAGGTACCACCGAGGCAGGAGACGACGGAGCGGGCTCTGTGGGACCTGACGGGGCTGGGGAGCTTCTGGGCCTGGGGCGCGAGGACGCCGAGCCCGCCCTGAGTGCGGAAGAAGTGGCCGAGCGGCTGGAGCTGGGTGGGGAGGCGCCCCCAGCGGGGCTGCTGGAGGACGGTGAAGCCCCGGGCGGCACCGGGGAGCCCGAGGCGGAGGAAGCGGCCACAGAGAGCCGGACGGAGGAGGAGGAGGAGGAGGAGGAGGAGGAGGAGGAGGAGGGCGACGTGTCTGCCCTGGGGCAGGGGGAGGACAGGCTGCAGCTGCGGGCCTCGGTGAAGAGGAAAAGCAGGCCCTGCTCCTTGCCGGTGTCCGAGCTGGAGACGGTGATCGCGTCGGCTTGCGGAGACCCCGAGACCCCGCGGACACACTACATCCGCATCCACACCCTGCTGCACAGCATGCCCTCGGCGCAGGGCGGCGCGAGCGACGAAGGCCCGGAGGAGGAGGCCACCCTCCAGGACGCCTCGGAGAAGGACGGGCTTAGCGAGGCGGACACGCTAGCTGCCGCGCCCCCTCCCCTCGAAGAGGACGGGGAGGACCCCGAGGGGGCTACTCCGGGCACGGCGACCCCCGGCCACTCGGGCTTGACCAACGGCCTCGTCCCCGATGGCGACATGCTCCCCAGCACGGGCAGCGAGAGCGACTCGAGCCCCCGGCAGGGCGGGGACCACAGCTGCGAGGGCTGCGACACGCCGTGCTGCAGCCCCTCGTGCTACAGCTCCTCGTGCTACAGCAGCTCCTGCTACAGCCCCTCGTGCTACAGCGGCAGCAGGTTCGCCAGCCACACGCGCTTCTCCTCGGTGGACAGCGCCAAGGTCTCCGAGAGCACCGTCTTCTCGTCGCAGGACGACGACGACGACGACGAGAACAGTGCGTTCGAGTCCGTGCCGGACTCGGTGCAGAGCCCGGAGCTGGACCCGGAGTCGGCCAACGGTGCCGGGCCGTGGCACGACGAGCTGGTCACCGCCGCCGGGAGCGTGGCGAGAACCGTGGAAGGTCTGGAGTCCCCCGTGGCAGGGCCAAGCCATCGGAGAGAAGGTTAGACCTCAAACCTGGTCAGAGTGAGAGTAGGACCACCAGGGGGCCGCAGGTCTCACCAACAAGGTTGAAAAACAAGTGAGAGGCTCAGTCTCAGATGGGGTTGCTGGGGCAACGTATGCCTGTCCTGTACATGTATGTGTGCCCGTGTCTATGTGTATGTAAGTATCCGCGGCCGCGACTAGCACACATCCACCCGCTCTCAGACACACACCGAGAATGACAGCTAGTGCACGCATGTGAGTGTGCTCTTGTGTGTGTGCGTCTGTCTTACCCAATCACTAGAACTGGCTACACGTGTTCACGTTACCCTTCTAGTCTTGACAATGACCAGAGCCAGAGGCAGTATTGAATGATCTGAACAGAAAACATTCGGCAACCCTTCGGTGGATAATGTGTAAATATCTGCTGACTTCCCAAAACATATGGGAGATTAGCAATAAATGTTAATATAAATGGAAGAACATTGATTTTACCTCTGCTTTAGAATTTAACTTAGCCTATGTACATACGGAAATGTATAGCCTGCATGTATTTGTCAGTATTTCTGTCTGCTCAGTTCTCGTTATTGTTGTTTTTTCACTATTATTCAGTTTATTCAATCTAAAAACAAAAACAGCTCACCCATTTCTCCCATTCCCACTCCTGCCTCTGGCAACCATCAATCTGTTGCCTGCTCACTTGAAAACTACAAAACGTTAATGAAAGAAATTGAAGAAGACACAAATAAATGGGAAGATCTTCCATGCTGATGGATTGGAAGAATCCATACTGTTAAAATGTCCATTCTACCCAAAGCAACATTATTACAAGCTTGCAAGATTCCAGGCAATCCCTATCAAAATTCCAGTGGCATTTTTCACAAAAATAGAACAAACGATCCTATAATGTATATGGAACCATAAAAGGCCCCAAATAGCCAAAGCAGTCTTGAGAAAGAACAAAGCTGGAGGCCTCACGCTTTCTGATTTCAAACTACAAAGCTATAGTAATTAATTCTGGTGTTGTGTTCTGTTGTTTTTTGTTTGTTTTGTTTTATTTTGGCTAACGGAAGGGAAAAATAACATGAATTCGTAAATCACTTTGTTTCAAGTGGGATTCTAATCCAAAAGCTGCCACCTTTGGTTTTAAAATATATTCTGTATTTTAACCAAAGATGTTTCTTCTTAGTCATGCCTGTGGAATCTTCTATAAAATTAACTCACATTTCTTTATCCAGATTTGGGAACCATCTTCCAGTCAAGTGACAGTGACATGGGGGGAAATAATTCAAAGGTCACATAATACTATGAAATAATTCAGTTGCTTTAAAGGAGAGAAATATAGATTCTGCTGTTTTTCTGCTCTACTGTTTAAGTTAGACTCCAAACAAAGGTGGTGGTGTTGTCTCTAGATTGTAAGCTCATCAAGGGCCAGAACTGTATTTTCTCTGTTTGATTCTTAGCACCTAAACAAATGCCTGGCACCTGTAAATTTTTAGAGGAACCAAAGTGAGCACAAAAATTAATCCTGAGTATTTGACAATGCCCAATTCTACATTTCAGAGAAAGAAGGAGTGAGGGAAAGTGGCACATGGGATGAGGAGACGTGCAAAGAGATTGGTAAAGAAAGAGAACCACAGGGAGGAAAACCAGAGTGGCACGCAATATGGAAAGGCACACCTGAGAATGGGATGGATAATTCCTTTCTTTACTGAGGATGTTTTGAGTCCCTTTGCTCTGGGCCAGATGCTATGTGCGGAGCACAGGTAGATGGATAAGTGTCAGAAGGTGTGAGAGGGGCTCAGTAATTACAACAGAATTAAAAATAATTATAGTATAAAGAGATCTGGGGATATAAACCTAAAGGGCACGACTAGGATCTGGCAGGGGGGTTTTAGTCCAGAGGTTGGCAAACCTGTTCTGTAAAGGGGCTGATAATAAATATTTTAGACTTTGTAGGTCAAGAGGCAAAATCAAGCAACTCTTCTCACCAAAGGCTACTTTTTTTCTTTTTTTTAACAGTTTTACATTTAAAAGTGTAATAACCATTATTAGCTCAGAGCCATACAACAACAAGGCCAGAGTCATAGTTTGTCGACCTGCTGTGGCCTGTGGTATATATTTTGATCACCGTGTTGGGGGACAATCCACATATGGTTAATTGAAAATTGGTTCAGTATGCAAAGGCATGTTTTACAAACAAAAACAAAAACAAAACAAAACAAACAAAAAACACTGTCCGCGCCCTTGACGGACGAACAGCCCAACTGGGAAAACTCCTCCTTAGCAGAAAGGACAGGAAAGTGTTTTCGGGCCATAGCGGAAGTCTTGGCGGGGCAGTTTCCAAAGAAATTTGTGAATTTCTGAATTCTGCCGACCGTACACTCAAAAACGGCTAAGAAGCACCTACAGGCTTCACTCTGGTGGCTGTTGGGGCATTGCAGAGATTCCTGAGATGGTCAATCTCGTGAAGGCTGGCTGGAAGCTGGCAGAGCCTGCCCCTTCCCCTCTCGGCGCCGAGTTGCCGAGCTACCGGTCTGTCCCTCGCTGACACGCGCTCGAAGAAAGCAGGGCTTCACCACAACCTGCCAGGCCTTCGCGCGTGTGCCCTGTTCTTCCCCAAGACTCAACTATTGCCCGTCTCCTATGATTTTTAGGCCGGCAAATTCTTTCACGAAGTTAGCTGAGGTAGACTGACCGTACACACGCCCACATAACTGAGTCTGCTGCCATTCGTGGAAGATGTGTTCTGTATCTCCTTTTTGCTTTCCTACCCCACCCCCGCACCCCCGCCCCGTGAAAACCTCCTTTTTAACCTCAACATAAAATAGTTTTTAAAAACTGTCTGCAGGTCAAATGAAAAGAGCAATATAATGTGATTTGAGCTCGGGAGTCCAGGCCCTGGAGTCAGGCTTGCTGGGTTTTAATTGAGTCCCACCACTTCCTAGCTGTGACACCTAAGCCAACTTACTGGAATGCTCTGTGCCTCGTGTGTGAAATGGGTGTAAAGGTAGATTCTATTTCAAAGGGTTATGGGAAGGATTAAATGAGATATGATGCACATGGGTTCTTCCAGGCAGATAAGCAGGGAGGCTACCTTTGAAAGTGGAATATGTTTTCCTTCTCAGGGATTCTAGCAGGTCTGAACACTTGCTCTGTGTTTGAGGCAAGGGTGAGCGTGTGGAGCTGTGGCCTCCCGCAGAACAGACTCGCTTGCTTCTTCCTTGCGCTCCATCCATTCAGTGGGCTGAGCTGCGCCTGTCACATCATTGCATTTGCTTGGGGTTCACGAGCAGGTGGGGTCAGCTCCGTTAACCCCAGCAAACGGCAGTATTATGTGTCCACTAGCTTGGAGGAGTAATTAACCTGATTGGGTGAATTAATTCCAAGAGGTAAGTTTGTTGTTCTTTTTAAGAAACCAAATTAAAAATGCAGCAGTTAGTGACATAACAACTGTACCATTGTTTTTTTAGTTTCTGACGCTAAGCACATGAAAAGCAAACGTGAGTGTGGGATCCACTAAAAACAGAGCCCCTATCTGAACCAGGAGTCGGTTGCCAAGGCGCTGTGCATGAGCATGAGGGGCCCCTTCCTCGGGGCTCCTCGGAGTCTCAGAAGACCCCCAGGATTTGAGTAACATACCAAAGTTTGCACAAGAAACCATGTTATATATTTAACATTTAAAAGGACCCTGACTACAGGTTCCTGACTACATCTCTGTTTCTTGTTTTACAGTTAGCTCTAGGAATTAAACTGCTAAATTAAACCCACGTAACTTCCTTCTTAATTGTTTTTTTTTTTTTTTATCAGTTTTTTGGACCTAGACTGAGAGGTCCTTTCCATGTATGGACATTCTAGGAAATGTTTGAAATCTGGGATCCCATAAAGATCTTACCCACTGGTTTTTAGTTTCCCTCCTTTTTGACCTAAGGGATGATGGGACACTTGCTATTTGCATCAGCCATGGAGGGCAGAGGAAGGAGAAGGCCTGACCTTTGTCCTCTGGCTAATAGAGGCTATTGCAGAGAGCCAGGAGCATGTGAGCTAGAGGGTTACCACTCTGTCTCATGGCTTAGGCCCTTCCAGTTTTCCAAAAGTCAAGAGCCACTGCCTCTGATGATGTGGCCTAACCCTATGGGCCTCCCCTCCACATAGCCACTCTCATGCAGTATTACCAGGACCTAAGGACATCAAGAAATAGGAACATCATTTTAGGACATTGTTTAGTTCGCTATAAGTCTGGCTGACAATAATATTAACTATGTCTATAATAATCGAGGCATGCATTTGGATATGTTAATTTCTAAAATTTCTCCATGTCTGTCTTCCTTCTATCCCACTTCTGTGTTTCCAGTTTTCCTGTCTCAGTCTTCCTGCCTCTTATCTACTTCCTTCATCTCTTGTCTTTTTCTCTTTCCCCTTTCCAGCATACCCTGGCTTGTCTGATTTTTCCTCAGAATAATCTGGAACAATCACAAGATCCCAAAACTACTGGGCTCCCCACCCCAGTCCCCAAGCTTCCATACTATAGGAATTTACCTTCTTGACTCACCAGTTCCTCAGTGCCATCTTGGAAAAGCACCATCTAAGAGTTTCATTCCAAAATCAGAATCTGAAAAATAGCCTCTTGGTAGCCCTCTGATGAAACCTATCCAAATAAAGACCTTTGGTTTCACATGGGCTCACCAAGCTTTTATGGGACTTTACAAATGGTACGCTTCCCTCAAACAGGCCTGTTTCTTTAGCTGGGCTCAAGTCAGGCTCTGCTCATTTTCTTTTGTGTCCCCGTCTGATGCCACCTTCCCATCCAGAAAAGTCAAGTGGTTACAGAATCAGCCCCTGATCCTACGTATTGGTCTGTGGGGTACAGATCATAGTCATGAAGTATTTATTTTCTTGGGGTTTAAAAAAAAGTTGCCCCTATTCCCTCTCTCATGAATGACTGTGAATGTAGCAAACTGACACAAAAAAATAGATTGCCCTCTCCGGGGTTTTTTTCCTTGTAGTCGTTTGTTTTATGGTCATGCTTTGATGATGACGTTGCTGCAGCAATGAGTGAATCTGAATGTCTTGACTATCTTGTCCATAGGTGAATGTCCTATACTCCATAATTCCCAGCCAGTAAGCCAGCTTCCTTCCTTGAGACCTGAACATCATCACTACCCAACAATCGATGAGCCTCTTCCACCAAGTAAGCTTTAGTTTTTAAAGTCTATGTCTTAATTCTTCCTATCAAGTCTAAACAGGTCAGTATGAACTTGTATGTACACATCCAAACTCTTCCCCAACTCCACACCTTACACTGTTATAAAAAAAATTTATATATATATATATATATATATATATATATATATATACACACATATGGCACCCACTATAAAAATGGGGTGTTTTTGACTAGTGATTTCAGTATGTGATCTTGAAGAGATAGTCCAGTAACCTTCCAGTGCCCCTCAACTTCTGAAACAGAGAGTATTACTTTACGAGACTTGCCTACCTTGCAAACTGTACATGACCTTTAAGTCCTAAATTTTACTATTTTATATTTAGGAGTTCATAGGTCAAGATGGAATAATCCTGTTGTTCTCCATTGGACCTGTTATATCACAGGCACCTCCATATAATAAAACATTCAACCCATCAGGACGCAAGGACTTGCACTTTCCTTGCTATAACTTCCATTAATAGGTGACAGCCTATTTCTTCCATTGTTTCTTAGGAGCTTCCAGAAAAAAAAATACCATCCTTAGGGATGGTATTCCATATCATATTCTCCTGATAACTGTGTAACTAATTATTATTTAACTAGTCATTTGAACTTGGGAAAATCGTTTAATATCTCAGAGACTCAGTTTTCTTATTTGTAAAGTAAAGTCTTAATTTTCTCATTAGCTAAATGGCTAGATCTGGACTAGGTAATCCCTAGATATCATTCCAGCCTTAACCTTATAATACTACATTATAAGACATTTCTAAGAAGGAACTGATACCCTGGACATTATACATTCACTTAGCATCATATATGTTCATGAATAATTCTAGAACATCTCTGTTTTGGCTTAGGCTTATTTTTCAAGCAAACATAACCTTTAAGATTTAATAAATTTTACAACTGCAAAATCTTGCCAGGATGCAAGGAATCGATGTTTCTTTACATTCTTTTGCCTGTGCTTACATTAGGAGGTTACAGTTTAAAAAAAAAAAAAACAACAACTTATTCCCTAATTCATCTATTCTTGGTAATGTGATATATTTTGCATTTACACCATTCTTGTCCTATTCAGTTGTAATTTATCAGTGAGAAAACAATAAATACCTTTAACATGTAAACATTTGAAACAACACCATATTTGTTTTGGGGGATCAAGGCAAACATTATGTTCTTTAACTTTTGATACCTGATTTCTTTCTTTATTTACACCTTGATTTATGGATGGTCCACAAGTGACTAGTAAAATTTCAGTGTCACTATACTTTCTACTTAGCACTTATGTAAAAAATATCTATAACACGTTCTCTCCAGGAAAGGAACACTTTCCCCACAACAAGAAAACCTATCAATTCGTGTGTGCATGAATTGACTTCCAGTCCATGCAAGAGTAATAACTAGTTATGCATCCAGACCTTGTAAAGAATTGAATATAAGTCTATTTTAAAGACTTACTTTATACAAGCTGTTTTCAATAATGAAAACAAATTTCTCCAGTTGGGTTTCAATTCTCTGTTCCTTACACACTGAAAAATATGACAAAAGTTGGTACTGAAGCCTAACAACAGAATTTTCTTGATAGTCATTCATTCAACAAATACTCATTGAATGCTGGCCCTGTGAAGCACTGTTTTAGGTAAACAAAACAGACAAAGATCCCAGCCCTCATGGAGCATACAGTGTAGCCAGGCAGAGACCAACACATAATAAAAAGAGTGAACAAGGCAACAGTGTAACACTTTAGATGGTAGGAAGTGCTGTGCGGAAGAACAGGCAGAATAGGGCAAGGGGGATTTGGAGGATGTGGTGGCGGCTGGTTCACCATTTTAAATCGGGTGGTCAGGTAAGGTTCATTGAGAGGCAACATTTGAAGCTAGGCTTCGAGGCGGTAAGAGGGTTATTCATGCGGAGGAAGAGCTTTTTGAGAAAAGAACAGCCCGCCTGGTGGGTTTGAGGAACAGCCGGGAGACCAGTGTGTCTGGAGCAAGCAGACAGCAGTGGCTGGTAAGGTCAGGGAGATCCCAGGGACCCAGATCACACAGGGCCCTGTAGACCACTTAAGAGCTTCGGCTCCTACTCTGGATGAAAGGGGAACATTTTAGGTTTAGAGCAGAGAAGTGACATTCTCTGACTTAGGTTTTGATGGTAAGAAGTGCAATGCGGAAGCACAGGCATTAAAGTTTGAGGAGGAAGGACAGAAGCATGAAACCCAACATATGGTTATTGCTGTGGCCCAGGTGAAAGGCAGAGGTGGCCAGGGCCGGGGTGGGAGCAGTGGATGTGGTGAGGGGCGGTCGCATTCTAGACATATATTCCATACGTAGGTTTGCTGACAGATTAGATGTGATGTCTGAGACAGAGGTAGGAATCAAGAATGATCTCAAGAATTTTAACCTCCAGAAGGATGGAGTTGCCTTCAACGGGGATGGGAAGGGAAGGCTGCAGAGAGAGCACGTTTGGGTGGGAAAGAGCTGAAGCTTGATTCTGACCATGTTATATTGGAGATGTCATCTAGGTAGTGATGTCAAGAAGGCAACAGGATGTGTGGCTGAAGTTCAAGAGAAAGGTCTAGACTACAAACATGGTATTGCATTTGTTAAAGTAAAAAGAGAAAGGGGGGAATAATTTTACAGGCTTTTGTTAGTATAATAACTAAAGATGATACATGGTTGGGCTCTACAGTGTTCCTAGACTTCATGGAAAAGATATAATTTTATATTTGCTAGGTCTTTCAGGCAGAAATGAATTACCCTAACTTACCCCAGCATCATAAAGGTGATCACTGGCAAGAATCTGTCTAGGCAACACCGTGCCACGTCCATGAGGACACGCTGAGGCCTGAAGTTCTATTTGGAAATTCTTTCTTTACACAAATATGTGAAAGTGAATTCTTTACAGAGCAACCCAGAAAACACGCTTATAATCTCTAAGTACACTTAGCTATTACTTTCTGAATATTTATAAGAATTTAGCATTATGCATTTATAATTAGCACTATTAGATATTTAATAATATTGATAGAAGGGCCTGTCTGGCTGGCTTGCCATCCTTTTCCATGAGAGACTTGGAAATATGGAAACTTGTAGAGAAATTGTTATTACCACTGCACTGCACCATTCTCTAGTGTTTTCCTTGGAGAATTTATGAGACTGGAGCTGTGTCTTTCTTTGAAGGAGTCCTTCCTTCACTGTGGGAAGCTGGAGGGTGGGGGCATCAGTTTCTCAGCGGTGTGCCCATGGGACCAGGCATAGTTTTTTGTTCATACGGAGTGCTGAGAGCAGTTTGTTCAACTGAACTAGATACCACAATACTCTTCAAAGATTAATGTTCATTCTTTGTTGAATGACAGTCATGTTGAGTTCAAGAAAAAAAAATTGTCGAGTTTCTCCTAGTTGGGGAATCACTGAAATTTCAAAATTTTTGGACCAAGATTAATTACCTAGTAGTTACATGTATACACAGTTTCATCAGTGAGCTATTTAACATTTACAACTAACAGTTGAGCTGGATTATCTAGCAGTCAATTTTCATTAACACCCTCTAGAATATATTTATACGATCTGACGACATTTTTCCTTCAGTTTGTCTTAGGCAAGGTAGATTTGGTGTGTTCTGGTATTTTGGTTTCCATCGTGCAGTATTTGGCAATTCCTCAGATAAATATCAGACTTAAGCAATGATCTTCACAAACAGATGTACCATGCACACATAAAACCATAAATATACCAAATATATTGGGTTTTTTCCATTTAAAAAAATTGAGAGTTGCTATGTCATTACCTGAATAATTTTTCAATAGAATTATTAATATCTGACCTACTCCCAAAAGCTATGGATTTTCTTAAAAGGCTGAATAGTTTTCCTCCATTTGCAGTCATTTTTGCTTTTTCTTCTTTAGTCTAATGCATTTTTCAGCATAACTTTATCATGAAGCTGTTATTTCCACCAAGTTTTCACATTTGGACTCTAAAAGCTTTTTGCCCATTGCTTTACAGCAGACATTGCTCTTCTGTGTGAAGCTCAGATATTATGTATTACATCCAGCTCTCCCAGTTTTGAGGACTTTTCCACCCACCCCACCCCACCCCACCCCACCCCTCCATGTATTATGTAGTGTATCATCCATGCTCCCACGTTTAGTTCCTTGGTTTTGGAATCTGAGAAGTAAAGGAACTTATCTTTGTCTTGGGCTCCCTCTACTGGTCTGTGATGGTTATTTATCAACAAAGAGGTATTTAAAGCTTGATGTGTGTTAACTAGTTGATATTTAAAGGCTTGATGCGTGTTAATAGTTGTTACTGGTTTTGTTTTGTTTTGTCAAGAGATATTTGGCAGCCACAGGTGGGTTGAAAATACACTGTGAACTTACAGCTTACCCAAAGGATGGTTCGAAGGGATCCAATCCTTCCATTCTTCCTCAAGAAGAATGGCAATCAATTAAAGTTGCAAAGTATTGCATAGAGGTCATCTGAAGTTCCAGGTACAGTATCTTAGAACTGTCATTACAAGTGGTTTTAATATGAGGGCCATCCTCCCCTCACCGACTAGTCGCTGTCTCTCAGATTTAGCAAAGAAAGGGTTCTCCAGCCTCAGTCTGTCAGTTCTCACTGGAGGCTGCTTAAGTCTTCCAGCTGTAATTTGAGTTGCCAACAAGATTGACAGGGTGGAAACTGTTAAAGGAAGAAATAAAGTAAGCATCAGACTTTCTCCTTAGGAAAATAGGAGAATTGTAACCTAGGTCATATTCGAGGAACCACAGTTACTGTTTAAGAGAAGCTGAGTCCAGTGGATGCCAGTTCAGCCCTAGTACCTCAGAAGTCATGGCGGGTGCTGTGGGCAGCGTCCGGCCTTCAGCAAGGAACCCACAGTGAGTTCTACCTGCAGAAGACCTGACAGCGGTATTGGTTTCCCATGAATCCGTAGTTTGTCCTTGATTTTCCTTTTTGCCTTTTTATTACACGCCAGACTGGGAAGCTCGCATTGACAGCCATGGGCGGGTCTTTTACGTGGACCACGTGAACCGCACTACCACCTGGCAGTGTCCGACATCAGCAGCTACCCCTGATGGGATGCGGAGGTCGGGGTCCATCCAGCAGATGGAGCAACTCAACAGGCGGTGGGTGATCAGCATGCAGTGAACCCCTAGGAACCCCTGGGAAAGGAGCATGGCAGCCAGAGAAAACCTCCCTTACACTTTTCTGCTCAGATTGTACGAGGAGCCTGGGAAGTGATTATGTATCTTAAGAAACCCATTTATAGTAGGTACTTGGAAAGCTAGAGTTAGAATTTGGTGGCAGGAGACAAACTAAGCCTGAGTGCCATTTATTTTTTTTTTAAAGATTTTATTTATTTATTTGAGAGAGAGATAGCGAGAGCAGTAACACAAGCAGGGGGAATGGGAGAGGGAGAAGCAGGCTTCTTGCTTGCAGGGAGCCCGATGTGGGACTCGATCCCAGGACCTTGGGATCATGACCTGAGCAGAAGGTAGATGCCTAACGACTGAGCCACCCAATCCTCTGAGCTTCTTGATGGCATGTGCTCAAAGACAGGTGTTCTTAACCAGGGGCCCCTGGATCACCCTCCTCCCCAGGTATTCACCGAGGATGCCATTGTTCCAGGAACCCTCCAGAAATTGTATGCAAAATTATACATGGATGCACATTTTCCTGTCAGACTGGTCCATATCGGTCATGAGATTCTCAAAAGGGCCCAGAACTCAAACAGCTGAAAACATTCCAAGGATGGATTCCATAGAATACCAAAAGCTGCCTGGAGAAAAAAACAGTGTCATCACTGTATTCGTGTCTACCCTGGTCCCCTAATTGCTATATACTCAGTAATCCCTAAAAGGCTTTTATCTTAGAAAAAAAAAAAAAGTTTAAAAACAGTTTTTGAGACTTGTTTTGTCTAAAAACTAGACCCTTACTAGTGAAATTGTAAAGATGCCATTTTGTTTTTAACCTGAGAATGAGACCCTAAATATCATTTCTCTCATGCTGTAAGCTAGCATGAGCATCATACCCGACCTCTTGCTTCTGTTAAGGCCAAGAGGGCAGATTTGGGATACTTTCAGTAGCCGGGACCACAAACTGCAGGCTTGAAATCAGCTGCATCCACATGCCATCTCATTAGGATGAAATAAAGGAAAGTTGAAAGGAACTATATAGAATAAGGAACTGGAAGTTAACTGTATCGGCCAGAAAAATAAAGTGGACAATTTAGTCCTATGAAAAACACACAGAGGTGAAAAATTGAACTTCTGGTTACTGTTGTACACAGAGGAGCATGCTTAGGTGAAAATCACCAGGATTCTTTTATTGCTTGAGCATTTGGAAGACATTCACTTTCCATTCTTTCTCCATCAGGAGCCGAGCGTTTAAAGTCATTAATGAGAACCACGAAGGATTTTCATTGACAGTACATTTCTCTACAGTCATTCCCACAGAAAGAAAACACATTACAGAACTTGTGATAACCCAGCTTTATTAGATAAGAATGCACCAAAAATCCCCGGGAGAGCCCTTTCATGGTGATTGCAACAAAACTCCTCAAAATAAAAATGTGGAGGACTCGGGGCGCCTGGGTGGCTCAGTTGGTTAAGCGACTGCCTTCGGCTCAGGTCACGATCCTGGAGAACTGGGATCGAGTCCGGCATCGGGCTTCCTGCTCAGCAGGGAGTCTGCTTCTCCCTCTGACCCTCCTCCCTCTCATGCTCTCTCTCTCTCTATCTCATTCTCTCTCTCAAATAAATAAATAAAATCTTTAAAAAAAAAAATGTGGAGGACTCAGCAAGCTCCTTTTACATAGAGACCAGATTGAGATTCCATAGGCGGAAATAGACAGAACAGAGAAGCTGAACTTGTTTAGCAGGCTGAGAAATAGGGAGAGTATCACCAGGCTGCATCTATGGGAGGTACAGTTCGAGCACTAAAAGAAATCAATAAATTGAAGCAGAGGTAAGCACCTTGACCTAGGACATAAAAATCCATGAAGGTTCATCATGTTCAGGTTGTATAATATAAAAATTAGGCCAAATCCATCCTGAATCAGGCCTCTAGAGGAGTTTTGCAGGCTTTCATGTGTAAATTCCTGTGCCCTCCTGTGGAGCTGACTGGCAGAGGCAGACAGACTTTGTAGAACAGGAAGTGGTATTTGCTGCATCCGTCTGGACGGATAAAAAGAAAGGGAATTTGGTGACTTGAGAAAGTACTTACTTCTCGTGAAAAAAACCTACTTAGGGAAGGCCAGATAGCCTTGAGATAAGTATCCCAGCTCTTCAGCACTTAACCAAATAGTTCAAGCATGTAAAGTTTTGCAGGGACTTGGCCTGATAAGGCAGCCACAGAAAAATATACTGCCCGTCTTTTCTCCCTCACGGATGTGATCACTCACGGGGGTCGTTTTTCGATAACCTTCGGTTGGTTATCAGAAGGAATTTACAGCAATCACTCTCTCACAGCAAAACAAATATTTCTCAGTGTTGCAAGGTGTAGGGAAGGAAAACCTTCCTTCCTTCCCTTCTAAGTTCTTTGGCTGACTTAACAATTAAATCGACATATGTAAGATTAATAGGAGAAAAGCAAATTTAATTCCGTAGGTATGGAAGCTTACAGAAATATGAGACTCAAAGAAATGACCAAAAGCAGGCAGCTTTTATACCTGTCAGACAAAGAAACATTTGTGTGTGTGTGTGTGTGTGTGTGTGTGTGTGTGTGTGTGAAGAATTGACAAGACAAACAAGTTTGGGCTTGGGGTAGTAAATTAGTGAAGAGGAACAAGGTTTGTTTACACAGCCTTCTTGACCCTGATTCCCTATCCCTGGTGATAAGAATGACTACCAGCCTCCAGGTGCAGAAAGAGTACCCTTCACATGGGGAATTCACTTACTGCCTTCCGGAGAACAGAGGAGGGTCAGAGTGTCCTGCATTGGTGGTTTCTTAAGTAACTTTAATTCAAAATAATCAACATGCCAAAATGGCATATTTTGGGGTGGCCTGCCCTGGACCCCATCAAAGGAGTTTCCCTGGACTCCCGACAGCGTGATTATGAAAGTCAAGTGTTGTTTGTGCAAGGAGACGCACACTGGGAGAAGCAGAGTGCACAAAGCAGCCTACGGTGACCACATTCAAACTCGGCCGCTGCCCAGACGCAGCACCCCCTTCCTGGCCTTTATGGCTTGACCACGTCCTCCTAGTGCAGAGACGCCCCTCACTGCCTGCCTGCCACGTGGTCACATCTCCTTTCTGCTAAGCCCATGAGAATGTCCTGTGGTCCCTGAAATCCTCCCAGAACCCCCCCACACAGAGCCTCTTGTGCAATCCTGTGATTGAAACCTTCTGCCTTGTCCTTCTGGGTGCCCTTCCCAGTGCCCGGTGTGGTGCCAGAGTCTACCAGGACTCAGTGTAAGACAGTTTCTCTAGTTAATTCTTACACTTCCAGAATATTCTGGATTAACTCAATTTACCTTCACAGGTATTTCTTGAACAAGCAGAAAATATAAATATGTAGTCTCACTTTAAATAATCAACTAAAGTTTGGTGTTTTTAGTTATTTGGATAAAATGTTTATATTATTGAGACATGGAAAGTTTTAAATATGAAAAAAAAAATGATGTATATATAATTCTACTACCCCAGGGTTTACCTTTTAAAAAAATCTTGTCTTTAATTTCCGTGTACATGCGTAGGCCTTGCACAGCTGTGATGATAATATACGGTTAGTTTTATATTCTCTTCTCACTTACCACACTATAAGCATTTTCATATTGCTGCAGAGCCTTAGAGTATCATTTAAATGGCTGTATAGTATTCCAAGGAACACACGTACTTTAGTTAACTTAATTTGCCCTATTGCTGGATGTTTTCCTTATTGCTTTCCAGCACTATTTTGGATAAGGCTAAAGGCCCTGTTAAATATTAGTGTTGTCTCATAGTAGTGTTTCCTTGGGGTTATATTCTCAAAAGAGCAGGCCACGGGAGATCACTATGGTTTTGGTATTTGATACCTATGCCTAATGTTTTCTAAAGTGTTTCTGGGGGCTCACTCTGCCAGCAACAACAGCTTCCCTTCCATCCCATCTTTTGGTGTGGTTTTGTTGACTTAAGAGGTGCTCCTTGGTATTTTGGTTCTTACATTTCACTTCTCACAGGGAGGGTCAACTTTTGTCTCCATAAGCTTTTCTTTTACCAATTGTAGCTCCTCCCATGAGAATTGTATGGTCTTGGGTTTTGTTTGGTTGGTATTTGTTTGGTTTGGCTCGATTGGTTTGGAAGGTTATTTTCTTGCTGGGTTTTGTGTGTTCCTGTGTGTGTATTCATTTATAAATTAGATATTCCAGCTGACTCTCTTACTAATTTCCATAAACTCTTTATATAATATAAAATTTGGCCTTTTTCCGGGAAAAAAAAAAAAACATGAAGGAGGACATGGAAGAATAATTCTTGATGAAATGTGAGAGAACCTGCTTTCTGACTTCCTCTCTCATCTTTAAAACAGAGCGAGCATCTGAGGCTGCGATCCTGCCCTCGCTGAGTGATCCTTCCACAAACTGTGTGTCCTGCTTCCCCAAAACTGTCCCTGCACTTCAGCAAAGATCAGGGTTGGGGTGTGGTACCTGGGATTTGAGGCCGTTGACTCAGTAAGGCACAAGACAACCAAAGTCCAACTGAGGACACAGCAGGTTGTGAAATTACTGACACTTTCATCATCAAATAAGATCACATGGATTCATAGAAAATCTCTTCTGTGGTCCCTGCACTTTGGGAAGGAAAAGTGAGGCTACGACTTTATATTTGTCTGTGCCCTGTTCTGGGTATCTACTGCGGAGAAACAAACCACCCAAACTTGGTGGCATAAAACAATGATAATTTATTGCTACCATCATTGTTATTATATATCATTTTTATTTCTCATGGTTCTCGAGGCTGACTGGGTTCAGTGAAAACATTCTCTCTTGGGGCACTGTCGTGTCGTTGCAGAGGGTGGCTGGGGCTGGTGACCCACATATCTGGAGGTTGATCCTGGCTGTGACTCTCCGCCAAAACACCTGCCCGGGACTTCCCATGTGGCCTCACAGCATGGTGACTGCAAACTGTCACTTATATTATCCTCAATTAGTCAAGGTAGCCACAAGATCTTCCCAGGCTCAAGGGGAGGGGACATTGATTCTACCGCTTAATAGATGAGTAATTAGGTTCTAACAGAGCATGCGGGACTAAAAATATTGTTGAGCCATTTTTGGAAAACGCAGCCTGCCATGAATCATTTAGGGGATCCTCCCGACAGCAGCAACCTTGGTCTTTGGCAATTCCATTCCTCCCCCGGTCAAGGTTAGACACTTAGGCAGCTTCTCGCTGGCCCACTCTGTCCCTCCCACCGTGGTGGCACTCCCTGAGTTCCAACAGGGAGAACAGGAGACAGCCATCCTTCACCTTCCCCACAACCTCCAGACCACAGACATGTTGACACGGTAAATAAACATGGGTATTTCTCTATATGATCCTTTGCCCTTCCTGCCCCCTCCATGTTTTCTTATTAGAGGCCTTCTCCTTAATGCCTTACAGTAACTGCTGCAGGCAAAGATGTCTCCTGACGCGTGTCAGGGGTGAGTGGCTGAGCCTCTCTAGATAAAATACAACTTAAAGAAAGCAACAGTGATTCTTAAACCTAGATGGAAGTAACGCTACCTGAAGGACTTCTTAGAAACGCAGGTTTCCGTTTTGCTTCAATTTCTGTGATTATAACAATAACCCAGCTGATTCTCTTGCAAGTGGTCTAGAGACCACACTTGAGAGAAAAAAAAGAAAATTCCCTTTTAAGGTACAAAGAAAAAGGTCTCTGGTGTTCAGAAGCCCTGCCACAGCAGACCTCGTCTGTAATGATATGTTCCCGTTGCCCCATGTTGGACTGCATTTGGAGACCTGGTTCTTCGCTGCTCCCTGGACTCCCACTCTCCTCTTCCTCTTCACACCTCTTCCTCCACCCCCGTATCTCTTTCCAGAGCATGGGACTCATACAGCAACGTTCCTTTGACTGTTCTCACTTGCATGACATCAACGACCTCCAAGTCAGCATGTCCTAACCCACACCAAAATCTTCCCTCCCCTCCTGCCTGTTCTCCTACGTGTCCTTTTTCAGTGTTGGCTCCTCCACTTACCCTTCACAGTTGTCTCCTCCTTCTTCAACCTCCACATCCAGACAGGCCCCAAGTCCTGTTGAGTCTCCATGTAAAATTACACAAATTCTTCCGCGAAGTCTTTCTGGAATTCACCTCCTTCTCCCATTCCTGCTGTGCCTTGAGGAAAAGGGAAGCTGAAGCCCGGTCATATGCCTCGGTAGGCTGAGACATTAGGCAAAATAGAGGTCATCTGGGGAAGAGAAGGAGGCTATTTGGACTGAGGGAAGTAGAGCAAAGAGGAAGGACACAGCTGGGCATCTGCCTTTAAAATACAGACTAAATTAGGCAGATCAGGCCATCAGAGGTAGGGAGGGTTAGGAAATGTCTGTCTTTTGTGGGCAGAGACAGAAGATCTTACTCTCCCTGCAGTCTTCCCCTCCCCCAACAGCATGCTTGCAGAGCCACCATGATCCGCCATGTCTGCCTATGCCCAGGCCTTTAGCACCTGCAGCCTGGACTGTTGCAGTGGCTGGTTCCCAACTGCTCTCCCCAATTCATGCTCTCCTCCTCCAGTGCATCCCCCACCTAGATGGAAGTCATCATTCTCAGTGGCTAGCTCAACCTCTTTTTCAGCAACTAGCCAGTCCCTAGAGCAGTGGTTCTCAAAGTTGGTCCCTGGACCAGCAGCATCAACATCAGCTGGGAACTAGTTAGAAATGCAGATTCTTGCCTCCTCCCTCCAAAGACCTACTGAATCCAAGAAAATCTGGGAGTGGGGCCCAGCTGTCTCTGTTTCAACAAGGCTGCAGGTGATTCTGCTGCAGCTCAAGTTGGAGAACCCATGCCTAGAGAATAACATCCGAACTGTGGCCGGGGTACCCTGTCCGTGCTCCCTGCCCCCCTCTCCGCTGGCCCCCTCGTGCTGCCCGAGGCCCACACATCCTGGTGCCACCACCCAGCTTCTCAAAGGTCCCCAAGAGTGAGCTCTTCGGTGCGTGTTACTCTACATTCTTTCCCTGCAAGGTCCCCAACAGGTTCATACTGATTCAAAATGTATGCATCTAGGTGTTTCCTCGTCTGTGTCTTACGCTTCGGGACAGCTTTTTGACACTGTTAGAGTCATGGCTTACATGCCATTTCCCTCTTTGCTCTGCATCCACTGTGTGTGTTCAGAGGGTGATAGCTTATCCTCCTCCTGACTCCGATCTGAAAGTCCAGCACAGAACCTGAGCATATTGGAAGAGTTACTAAATATTTAGTAAGTACCTGGGAAGGTGACTGACTGGCCGGCTGACTGGCTGAATCCTCAACTGGGGAAGAAAAATAAAATGAGCCTTCAAATCAGCAGAAAACATTTGTTTGTCGGCCAGCATGCTTTTAGTATGCAGTATTTCCACAGTTCCTGCCAGGGATATCAGTTACCTATCAGATAACAGTAAGTGAGTAGAACCATTACTCTGGTTTGTAGACTCATTACAATAATGTAGAAGTAATTTGATATCTTAGTTGTAACATTTTAAGTTATTTCCCAAACCGTTATTTTTAGACTTAGTCTGGTTTTGTTTAATGCAGGGCGGAGGCTGTTTTTTGTGACTAGTTATCTGTGTTAATGTGTAAAAGTCACCATACTTGAAACTTAGCACAGTTTACAGAACAAAAAGAAGTCCACTCATCGGGAACATGCGTGTCTTGCCAATTGTCTTGGTATCTTATGGGAACTTTAAGCATTTCTTTGCTGATATGCAAGACAATTCTTTACAGTTTTCTCCAGTTACCCGATTCAGAGCATCAGCCCCCAACAAGCCAATAAGCAGAAGTTAACTCCTGTCTTTCCATTTTCTGATGCAAAGGTATCAAAATATTCAGCGAACCATTGCAACAGAGAGGCCTGAAGAAGATTCTGGCAGCCAAAGTGGTGAGCAGATCCTGGCAGGAGGAAGCGGAGGAGGTGGTGGGAGCGACTCAGAGGCTGAATCTTCTCAGTCGAGCTTAGGTATGGGAGGAGGGGACCTGAGTCTTCTGGGATGGCATCTCGTGGCAGTGTGACATAGTGTGTGAATCCCTACCCTGGCCTGGGGGATGCACTGGGTCCTGGGGGAGAAGAGCAATGGAATGGGGGAGGTCAGTCAGGGTGGCCGGGAAAGAGGCTTGGTGCCAGCAAGGTGAAACAGACAGGAGTTTCCCACCGCAAACATGAAGAAGAAATGAATTTGCAGTAGGAGAACTCGTCCTGGTGCATCGAGGCAATTTCTTCAGTGGCCTGATCATGTCTTGTCGAGTGAATTTATCTGTTGGTGTCCTAAGAATTTTCCACTTATAAATAAAACATGCAATGAAAATTCACAGTCTACTTCAAAGAAGCTACATGACAAGACTAGGACTAATTATTTGTTTGCATTTGGAAGAAAATACAATTCCCCCTTGTGGGAGCAACCTGGGAGTAAAGAGGTTTTTCCCCTGAGCTTACCTTATGCACTCTGCCCCTGAGCCTGGTTACCTAATAGTGTAGGCCAGGCATCCACCAGGGGTCTGCTTTTCATTTCGTTGAATCTGCCTGAGTGGAACTCAGATGAGAACATTCAAAAGGCGGAGAAGACTGGCTTCAGTTTTTTATACCTGTGATCACCTAAGGTTATCACAGCGATATCCCAATCCACCTTCTCTCTCTCTCTCTCTCTTTTTTTAAAGATTTTATTTATTTATTTGACAGGGGGAGACACAGCGAGAGAGGGAACATAAGCAGGGGGAGTGGGAGAGGGAGAAGCAGGCTTCCCGCGGAGCTGGGAGCCCGATGTGGGACTCGATCCCGGGACCCTGGGATCATGACCTGAGCCGAAGGCAGACACTCAACGACTGAGTCACCTAGGTGCCCCCCAATCCACCTTCTCTTAAGTTGGATTGAATGATGGCACGTTAGAAGCTCGGGGACCAGTGGGAGCGAGCAGTTCTGCCTCCAGTTCAGCTAGCTCTCCATTCCTTGCTACACCGCAGAACAATGGATTTTCGTGCACAGACGATTGTAAGTGTGTCCCTTCTATTCATTTTACCAGATATGCTAGCTACACGGACTGGTTTCGGTTTTTCTATTTATTCATTGCTTTGACCTCTGAGAGAGATGTGGTCAAGTGGTCAAGTTTAAAGGCAAGAAGAGGGGCACCTGGGTGGCTCAGTCATTAAGCGTCTGCCTTCAGCTCAGGTTATGGTCCCAGGGTCCTGGGATCGAGTTCCACATCGGGCTCCTTGCTCAGCGGGAAGCCAGCTTCTCCCTCTCCCACTCCCCCTGCTTGTGCTCCCTCTCTTGCTGTGTCTCTCTCTGTCAAATAAATAAATAAAATCTTTTTTAAAAAATAAAAAATAAAGGCAAGAGGAAAGAAGGAACAGAAAATGTCTGAGTTTGGTATTGGACCTCTTTGCATTTGCTATGTAACAAACTATCCCAAAATGTAGCAGCCTTGTGTTTATCCTACAGGTGAGCAATTGCATTTGCTACGGGGCTCACGCATGCGTCCTTAGTCAGCTACCCAGTCAGCTGAGGGCCGGCTGGCCTGAGATGGCCTCAGCTGGGCTGCCTTGTGCCTGCTTCCCGTAGCTTCTCATCTTGTCCCAGACTAGCCCAAGCTTGTTCTCACAGTGGTGGCAGGGTTCTAAGAGAGAGTGAGGACACAAAGACTTCTTGAAACCCTGGCGTACAAGTTCTGCCAAGTCCTGTTACTTAAAGCAAGGCACAGGCTAGCTCAATTCAACAAGGGGAGAAGTGCAGAGTCTCCGGCAGATGGGTGTGGATGCAGGGAGGGGAAGAATTGTGCTTCTTTCTGCAAACAACCATAACCATGCTTGGCAACTCATAAGGAAAATAAGAAAACCGTCATTGTAATAAAAGAGACAAGATGTACCTCTGAAACAAATAATACATTATATGTTAAAAAAAAAAGAAGATAGTAGGAAGGGAAAAAATGAAGGGGGGGACATCGGAGGGAGAGACGAACCATGAGAGACTATGGACTCTGAGAAACAAACTGAGGGTTCTAGAGGGGACGGGAGTGGGGGGGATGGGTTAGCCTGGTGGTGGGTATTAAGGAGGGCACGTATTGAATGGAGCCCTGGGTGTTATACGCAAACAATGAATCATGGAACACTACATCAAAAACTAACGATGTAATGTATGGTGATTAACGTAACATAATAAAATTTTTAAAAAGTAAAAAAAAAAAAGAAAACCTCGGGAAGGAACTACTAACTACATCACTTCCCCCAGAAATTTCTAGTGTACATTATTAAAGGTTTTGAGAAGTCCTGGAATAAAGTAATGTTTCACTTTTTAAAAAAAAGATGTTCGAGGACTTGAGCCTAACTGACGTTACGCAGGAGCGCTCCTAGGAAATAATGACTCTTAACTGGCACACATCACTGGGACACCCGACCAAATCACTATTCAGAACCACAGTCTGTCCAGTCAAAGCTAACACACCGCTGGTATAGAGAGAGAAGTACTGTATTTGAAATGACTTTTTTCCGATGCATCCGTTGCTTTGCTTCACTTTTTCCAGATCTGAGGAGAGAAGGGTCACTTTCTCCGGTGAATTCACAAAAAATCACCTTGTTGCTGCAGTCCCCAGCGGTGAAGTTCATCACCAACCCCGAGTTCTTCACTGTACTACACGCCAATTATGTGAGTGCTCCAGAATACAGAGGGAGCCCACCTGGCTTCCGTCGAAACTCAAAACACTCCTTTGAGAACTTGTTTAGTAGGTTAAAAAGGATGGCGTTTTAACCCAAGCAGGATGGAAAAAAACAGAAACAAAACAACTCCGGCCACTCTTTTTACTCTCTGTGGGTCTCCCAAAAAGGAGAAAAGCTGGATTTGGCAACACTGTTGCTTCTTTGTTTTTGTTAGGCTCAAATGTATTAATACCAGTGAAAGTCGTTGGGAAACAGATACGAGTTTCTATTATTGTTAAAATTTGAAAGGAACAAGATTATGAAGTTGACAGATGCCCCTCAGCCTGAATCATTTTATAAAATCACTTTCATTGAAGAAGTGTTAAAATAGATTTCTCCTAGATAAATATCTAGTTTTCCCTTTAATAAAATTAGTTGTTCAAGTACCATGCTTAAGTTAAATTTAATATTTTTACACATATAGTTTTTATTTCTTTTTTTTTTGTATTTTTAAGAAAGCAATGACTTGCTATCACTATATTCATTAATTCTTTCATTTGACAAACATTTTCTGTGGACAGATACAGATTTAGGTGCTTGAATCACAGAGCCAGTGGGACACCTGAACAGCAAAACTCCCCAATTTGTGGAGCGACAGACATGTACAAAGACCAGTCTGACATGAGGGGACAGGGCCCAACCTCAGGGAGGAACGAAATGCTCTGGAAACACAGGAGATACGGCATAGGGGAGCATCCCCGAGGAGGTGGCTGCTGAACTGAGTCAGGAAGGTTGCAAGTGGGTGGGAAGAAGCTCCAGAGGGAGGGAGAAAGGACGCAGCGGTGAAGGGGCTCGGGGTTGGGTCTGAGGGTGGGATGTGATGACAGGCAAAGGTGGGAAGAGGGGCTGGAGAAAAAGTGGCAAAACTCAGGGTAAGTCACGGAAAGGAACCTAGGTATACTTCAGAAGGCAGCTGGAACCAAGAGAAGTCCTAGGTATTTGTGTTACAGGATCAGGTGTTTGATTAAACATCTTCTCCATCAGAAGTGCAGAGACTGAGGGGCTACAAGGCTAGAGGCTGATCCAACCTCACAAGTGAGAGATGACCGGGGCCCAGCCTAAGGCAGGGGCTGGGAGTATGGAAAGGGGGACCATTGTGATGGAGGCAGGCAAGGGTGAGGACTCAAGAAAGTCTGAGTCCTTTCTGCTTGGGGCACCTGAGTTAGGGCGCGTCTCCATTAGCAGGTGCAATTATTTGATTAGGTGACAGAGGCTGTGGCTGGGGGGGAGACCAGTTTTTAGCAGGTTATATTTGAGAAGCTTCTGGGACATCCATTGTTAGACCCAGAGCAGTGGCCCACTGGTGCAGGGGTGAGTCACAAAGGGGGACAAGGATGGCAGATGTTGATGCCCTCAAACACTGGGCACCAGGGGGCCCTGGCCAGGAAGAGCCACTGCACCAGCCTGCTCTGGTAGCAAGCAGTGTTTGCTTTCACCACATGCACACCTGCCCTGTGGACCAAAAAATCATCATCTGGCACACTTAGAAACTCCTGAAACTTTTTCCTTTCTTCTCATCTCCAACCCCGCCACATACAAAAGTTGTTTGTTTGTTTGTTTTTCAAAGATTTTATTTATTTGACAGGGAGAGACACAGCGAGAGCAGGAACACAAGCAGGGGGAGTGGGAGAGGGAGAAGCAGGCTCCCCACTGAGCAGGGAGCCCGACGCGGGGCTCGATCCCAGGACCCTGGGATCATGACCTGAGCCGAAGGCAGATGCTTAACGACTGAGCCACCCAGGCACCCCTCACACACAGAAGTTTGTGACAGACCTCAGAAGTCCAGCCTTAGATCCCCAGGGACCCTAAATTAATCCTCCTTGTTACAGACGCATAAGTAGAGCAAGGGAGGACTGGTGCAGGCAGAGGAGGAAGGATGGGGAAGAGAGGGGAGCCATGCTCCCAGTAATAGAGGGAGACTCAAGAGAGCCCAGCCTAGCGCTGACTGGGGAGGAGGGGAAGGAGAGCCTTTGAGATGCACCCGGAGTGTGACAGTATCCAAGGCTGAGGAAAAACCAGTACAGATCAAACAGATCCATGTGTGTGTGTGTTTTTTGTTTGTTTTTTGTTTTTTTTATTTATTTGACAGAGAGACACAGTGAGAGAGGGAATACAAGCAGGGGGAGTGGGAGAGGGAGAAGCAGGCCTCCCGCGGAGCAGGGAGCCCGATGTGGGACTCGATCCCAGGACCCCGGGATCATGACCTGGGCTGAAGGCAGACACTTAACGACTGAGCCACCCAGGCGCCCTCCATGTGTGTTCTATGGTGCACATTTAATTTTTGAGCAAGATCTCCCCTTCTGAGGCTTCCCCCTCAATGCTCACAATAACTCACTGTGTTAGCAATCAGGTTACATTACGTTAAGGCGCTCAAGGTGTACTTGGTCTGTATTTTTCCTACCCCCCCCAACACCCTATCCCAATCGGCCCTGACCCCCTCTCAGGGTGCCTACCGAGTCTTCACCAGTAGCACCTGCTTAAAGCACATGATTCTGAAAGTCCGGCGGGACGCACGCAATTTCGAGCGCTACCAGCACAACCGGGACTTGGTGAATTTCATCAACATGTTTGCAGACACGAGGCTGGAATTGCCCCGGGGCTGGGAGATCAAAACGGACCAGCAGGGAAAGGTGAGTGTGACTGACCTGTGCGCCTTTCATCCAACGGGCTCTTTATCTGAAGAAGAGCCGTGACAAAGTGAGGGGGGAGATTCGTGAGGGCAGGAAAGTCTGTGTCTCAGAGATGTGCCATCAGCCACCAGGAGGAAGGGGGGGTAACTATTCACAGCAGGGTTTTCATCCTGCGAAGGATGTACGGCAACATCCGGGCCTCTTGCCCACTGATACCAATAGCGTCCACACCAACTTGGGATATTGCTAGATGTCCCCTGGAGGGCAAAATCATGCCCAGTTGAACACTACTGCCTACGTGTTTGGAAACTGAAACCAGAGTCGGTTCAGTGACCTTTCTATTGTTATGCCTCCTTAGACAGCTAACTCGCAGGGAATGAAATTATTAGTCAAGTGGGAATGACATTATTAGATTACTGGTTGTGATTTTCCTAATAACCTTTCAGTTTTTATTAAAACAGCCTGGCAAGCAGGCAGGGTAGATTGGACCCATGGGATGTTACCGGCTTGCATTTTGCCTTTGTGTGACCTTAGCCAAAACTGACCTTTCCCAGGAATGTTTTGTAAGCCTACCTGAGTTTGCTACAGCAAAAATGTTCTTTCTTAATCACCACCAGTCACATCAATGTATTTATAGGACAGGCCAAACAGTTTATTAAAGAATTGTCTCTGTGTAATCTTTTTTTTTTTTTTATCTCTGGTAGGACGAATCCCTCCCTCTTTTAGGGTCAAAGGAATCAGAAATTTTGTCAGTAGACACGTTCAGTGGGAACATGCATTATGCAGGTCCTATCCTCTGTGATGTTGAATGTGCCACAGTTCCCCAAAGTGGGCTCATAGGGCGCCATTGTCCCCTGGGAAGACAAATTCCTCCCCACAAACCCCTTAGCATGTCTCAGTACCTGGACTCTGAAGTGTGTGGAGAAAGAATGTCCACCAATGCAAGTCTGTCAGTTCAGTAAGTCTGCATGATCAGCTCCTGTGTAGTTGTAAGAATTGGAAGAGGGTCTGGGGTGGGGGGCGTGCTTTGTGTAGCAGAAAACCCTCCAGAGCCAGAATCTGCTCCTAAGGACCTTCTCTCTTACTGGATGTGTCCTCCACTTGGAGAATGACAGTAATTTACGCTGTGAGGGCTTGGAGATGTGTGTTAGGGTGGGAAATAAATCCTGAGCCAGAACAGAAAGTAAAGGAACTGGGGTGCTCATCTCGGTGGTCTGTGGTGCCCATATTTTCATTTATTACTTAACTAAGTTGCCAAGAGTACACCACTAGGAATCAATGAACAGAAAGGGTCATTATGGTTTATTATGCAAATAGCACAGTAATGCAAACAACTTGCTTAACCTCAGATTTCCGTAAGGCCGTTAAGTGCATGCAGCCCTTGCCCTAGGATGCAAACAGCTGGAGGCCCAGCGGAATGCCAGGGAAACCCCCCCAATGCCGTCAGCCCTGTTTCTCCAGGGCACCTCACACTAGCAAAGAAGCACAACAGCTGAGACTTGCGCCAAGAATTTTAGTCATTTTGAAATGTATATTAGGGAATTTCTGGCAAAATATTTTCCCACTTATTCTGTTTAGTGAGATGGTATCATATACAAGAAAGAAGAAAGTCTGAATCTAAAATGAGAGGACTTGAATTCTGCTTTCAGTTGTGACACAAACCAGTGGTGTGACTAAATACACACACCTAAAATGGTCTAATTCTTTATTAATTGAGCACACACAGACTCGGAGTTGGCAAGCAAAATTTCTGGGAAGCATACCATATACTGAATTGTTGGGGTGGAAAGTAGCCTTAAATTGGAAATGTGTTACTGCAATCCATTGAGTAGAGAGGAACAATGGAGGATAGTGGGAAAAATAGTGGGGCACGTGTACAAGGACTACCCCATCCCATTCTAAACACGTGACCGTGAGCAAGTCCCTTCACTGCTCTGAGCCCCACTTTGTTCATCATAAAGTAGCAATAATTATTATTGCCTTCATGATTTTATAGCCAGTGTAAAGAGTAAATAAGTGAATGTGGGAATCCATGATAATACAGCAGATTAGTAATATCTGCTGTTCTTCCTGTTGATGCTGTGGGAATTATCCTTACCAAAAAACCCAACATCAGACGGGCAACTGGGGAAAATACAAGAATACCTCACTGCAAAACCCATCGATGATGGGAATAGGTTGAGAAAAAACATTTTTGGACTATATCCTACAGGCTCGCCCCTCTGACTTGGAAAGAATGTGGTGCACCGGAGCCTGGGATTTAGGAACACCACTCACTGAAAAATCGGGTGGTGATAGCTCTCTGCAAAAGACATTTTCATATATGGCCAGAGAAGGTTCCAGAATGCCACACCACTTTCTTGTTCCTCACTCTAGCCAATTCTTGCTTTATTGACATGTGCAAAGATGACAGCCTTCGTTTTTAGTGTATACCATGGTAGGAAGAGAAGGACCAGGGCTAGCTGTTTGATGTCTTTGAATGCACGATCATCCCCACAAAGGGGGACAGGGACACTGCTCTGAGAGTTGGACCACTTCAGGAGGACCGGAGTGAAGGGTCAAATGGCATCTGACTCATCTGCTGTCTTGGAAGTCTGAGAAAGGAGGTCAAAACCTTCTGCCAACTTCAGTAGAGATTGGATGTGGACCTTAAGTGGGTTCCAGGCCTGAGTGAGGGTGAGGGGCTGCAGGTGGTGGGGCAGGTAAGGTTCTGTCTGTGGCCAGCATGAGGCAGAGGCAACCTCTACTAAAGAATGAACACACAGCAGCAAAATAAAAAGGAGCCTATGAAGACCTACTACTACATGAAGGAAACAGAACCTTTATCTGAGAAAAAAACATATCTTACAGTATAATTTTCTTCAGAAAACAGAAAAATTTAAAAGGTACCTGCTTATCATACACAAGATGGTTTAGGAGCACATGATTTCTATTGAGCAACCATGAACTGAAAAAAAGCTGGGAGGAAGCAGATGTAAGAAAACAGAACTACCATATGATCTGGCAATCCCCCTTCTGAGTATATATCCAAAAGAATTGAAATCGAAATCTCAAAGAGATACCTGCATTCCTATGTTCCTATGTTATTATTCACAATAACCAGAATATGGAAGCAACCTAAATGTCCACTGACAGATGAAGGTAAAGAAAATGTGGTATATAAGAAGGGAGGTGGGGGGTTGTTAAACAGGTGATGGGGATTAAGGAGTGCACTTGTTAGGATGAGCACGGGGTGATGTATGGGAGTGTTGAATCACGATATTGTACACTGGAAACTAATATACTGTATGTTAACTAACTGGAATTATAATAAAAACTTTTAAAAAAGATGTGTTTGTAAACTTATGTGTAGAAGCATATGGGAATAGAGCTGCCCTTAATTCAATGAAACTGCACAGTGCATAATGTGTCTTTCAAGTAACATCTTCTTTCATTAAGACATTAGTATTAAACAGGTTTTGACGAGGAAGTGGAGAAAGGGGAACCCTCTTGCACTGTTGGTGGAAATGCGAACAGGGGCAGCCACTCTGGAAAACAGTATGGAGGTTCCTTAAAAAAGTTAAAAATAGAGCTACCCTATGACCCAGCAACTGCACTACTAGGTATTTACCCCAAAGAATACAGAAATGTTAATTCAAAGGGATACATGCACCCCGATGTTTATAGCAGCATTTATAGCCAAATTACGGAAACAGCCCAAGTGTCCATCAACTGACGAATGGATAAGGAAGATGTGGTATATACAATGGAATATTACCAACCATAAAAAGGAGTGAAATGTTGTCATTTGCAAGGATGTGGATGGAGCTAGAGTGTATTACGCTAAGCAAAGTAAGTCTGTCAGAGAAAGACAAATACCGTATGTTTACTCACACGTAGAATTTAAGAAACAAAATGAAGAAGCAAAGGGTGGGGGGAGAGAGAAGCAAACCAAGAAATAGACTCCTAACCATAGAGAACAAACTGATGGTTACTAGAAGGGAGATGAGTGGAGGGGGGGATAAGGGAAATAGAAGATGGGGATTATCAAGTGAATTTCTGATGAGCCCCAGGTGTTGTATGAAAGTGCTGAATCACTATATTGTACACCTGAAATTAATATTACACTATGTCTTAACTAACTGGAATTCAAAAACTTACTAAAAAAAAAAGGAAATGTGATATATACATATAGTGGAACATTATTCAATGTTCCTTAAGAATGAAGGAAATTCTGACACATGCTACAGTGTGGATGAACCTGGAGGACATTATGCTCGGTGAAATTAGCCAGTCACAGAGGGACAAATACTGCATGATTCCCCTTACATGAAGTATCTGAAATACTCTCAGAGTAACAGAGCAGAATGGTGGTTGCCAGGGCTGGGGCAGGAGGAAATGGGGAGTTTAGGTTCAATGGGTGCAGTTTCAGTTATACAAGATGAGTAAGTTCTAGAGACCTGCTGCACAACATTGTGTTAACGAAACTGTTCTACTCTGTGCACTTAATACTGTACAACTAAAATTTTGTTAGAGAATAAGTCTCATATTACATGTTCTTCTACAATTTTTTTAAAAAAAGAAAAAGTAAAAACCAAAAAGAGCCTATCTCCCTTTCTCAGATAGGCCTATTCTAACCACTCAATTTAATACCAAAAGCACCTAAGATCTCCAACCCAAGTGCTCCACCATATAAGTTCTACATTTGTTAGATTTGCTGTTTTGCCTATTTCTCCTGACAGAATTCTGAGCTCCTTGAGAGCAGGGATTTTTGCTCATTGATGAAACCCCAAGGGCTTAATATTACTGGCATATAATTAGCACTCAATTAAAATCTCTGTTGGATGAATAACTTACAGATGTTCCTAAAGAAGAAACCAGAATAATAGGTACAACAGCAAAAATGAAATTCAAAATATAAAAATTGTTATTACATGTTGAAAATAAAACTTTGTGCTCTAAAATAAATTGTTCAGGTAGGCAGATTAATTGGGCTCACTGAGTTATTATAGTAAAATTAATTAAAACTCTATATCTATACATACTCTGAAATTGTCTTTAAATGGAGATTTTTTAAATCTTATCAATATATAGCCATGATAATATGAAAGTTACCTTAAAAAGAATAAAAATCAGACAAGCTTAAGATTTTCCATCCATGAAACTCGACTATAGAAATCCACAGAGCAAGAAGTACAGGTTATTGATGAGAAAAAGTTGCAGCCCCAAAATTCTATATTCAAACAAACTGGTGTCATTCAAGTGTGAAAATACTAGAAAAACAACCTTACATGCAGGATTTCAGTACATGTACTCTTTTGTCTGCCCAAAGAAAACACCAGAAGCCATTCTTCAGATGGCTCACAAATGAAGCAGAACAAGAAATCAATAATGGGGAAAACATAGTATAAAAGGACTGTGGTGGTAAATGTTTAGATCAATTAGATATATGGGTATAAATGTAAATAATTGCTGTTAAAGTGCTTTAAAATATTTTGGAAAAGACTCAATAAAATATGGGAAAATATGTATAAGAAAAATGGAATAGTTGAATAAGAACTATCTGAATCATATTCCTAGCCTAGAATTAAATAGACAAGGAAGAGGGAAGAGGGCCCAATGAACAGGGCAAGGAAAGTTGTGCTAAGTTCCTGGTTGAGTGTAAGGGGAGTCCAATTGGATAATTTGAAAAACAAGGGCTAAATATAGTTATCTGATCAACTTAAAAGGCAACTATTTGTAACTTTGAAAGCAAGATTTTTCTGTTTCAAATTCCTACAAAAATAAAATCAAGCAAAATACAATTTACATAGCAAAATACCCCAAAAATCCACCAGGAAGCGAAGAAATTGGAAATAATAAAAATAAAATAACAGAAGTACAGCCAAGCATAACAGTCATAGTGGTGGGTGGAGGTGGCACAAATCTATGTACCGAAAGGAAAACACTTTCAGATTTGTTAACAAACTGATCCAACTTATTAAAAGACATGCCCAAGAAATGATTCAGAAAGTTTAAAAAATAAAAGAATAAATATTAATAGAACATGAAATCCATAACAAGAAAACCAGTGGTGGTATATTAATATCATAGAAAGGAGAGTTCGAATTCAGAACCATTAAATGGAGTCAAAGTAAGATTTTATATAAATCAAAGGCACATCTAAAATAAAGATACAGTAATCATGTATCTTATGAGCCAAATAGCATCATATCATATAAAGAAAACTAAAAGAGAAATACAAAAAGAAAATGAAATAAATGCACTGTAGTACAAAATGAGTTTTGTATCTATCAGTCGGAGAGACAAAGTAAGTCAGGATTTGAATAATATAATTTTGTATTAATGGAATATATATTCTTTTGTTAAAAATAGAGCTTACATAGACCTTAACTACATACAATTTTTATTTGTCAATTATACCTCAGTAAGGGTGGAAAAAATAGAGGTTACATGAATGGATAAACAAAATGTGGTATTACCCATACAACAGAAGATTATTTATTCTTGAGAAGCAATGAAATTCTGACACATGCTACAGCATGGATGGACCTTGAAAACATTATGCTAAGTTAAACAAGTCAGAAACAAAAGGACAAATATTTTATTTCACATGAGGTATCTAAAAATAGTCAAATTCATAGAGACAGAAAGTAGAATAGCGTTTCCTAGGGTCTCGGGAAAGGAAGGAATGAGGAGTTGGTGTTTAATGACTACAGAGTTTCAGTTTGAGAAGATAAAAAATTTCAGGAGATGAATAGTGGTGATGGTTGCATGACAATGAGAATGTATTTAAACACAGCCATCAAAAACAATTTGCCAATTGTAGATTCAAAGCAATGCTCTTCATGACTATTGGGTTTTAAATAAAATCAAGACATAGAAACCATTGAGAAATTATTGAAAATGCATGTGACCAATATTTAATAAAACACGTGATACAGAAAGACTATACTCAAAGGATTAGTACATTGGTTTTTATTATCAAACAAGAAAAATAAATATTAAAATATAAGCTTTCAAACTAATAACTTAGAGAAGGTTAAAAAGCAACAGTAATTAAAGCAAAAATTTATTTCAAAATTTAGTCAAAAATAAAAACCCAGAAGTGTGTGAACTGGAAAACAACATAAGAAATAAGCTAAAATCAAAGAAGATATACCTAAAAGTGTCCTTTATTCAATAGGAGCATTTAATACGATAAACAGACACAAACTGAATATACCAACAATAGCTTTCCTGGGTACTAGGAATGATGGGTTACAAACATTACAGGAAAAGAAGCACTCAGAATAGCAACAAACAGTATTAAATATCTACGGACTCCCTTAACCAAAAATATGTGTCTTTCAGGAAGACAACTACAAAATTTTACTGAGAAGAGAAAGTCTTGAATAGACAGTCATTTTATGTTCAGAAATGGGAAAGGATACATTGTCTATTATAAAGAATGAATTCTCTCTAAATCATTTGTAGTCTTAAGGTGACTGTAAACAAAATCCTAATAGAACTATTTTGGAACTTAATAAAATTAAGATCAGTTCATCTGGAAAAATAAGCAGGCATGAATACTTAAGAAAATATTGAAAAGATAAATTAGGAGAGGAAACTTGTCCTACAGACATTAGTAATTGGAACAGTGAAAATCCTACAGATCATTGGAACAAATAAAATACTCCTGAAACAGATAGTGGTATTTATAAGAATTTATATGTAATAAAATGATAGGGAATGAATGATTTGGAAAAACAGGCTCTTGGAGAAAAAAATTGAATTACAACCTCACATTCATACCAAAATAAGTTTCAGAACAAACTCACCAAAAATAAAGCTAGAAAAACATAATTAAGCATTGAACTGAACTCTAGACAGAAATGATTGAGAGATTTGAGTACAGAGGAATATAAAAAATTCTGTGTAGTGGAAAACAAAGCAAACAAAAATCAAAAGCAATTTGAAGGCAGAGGAGTAATTAACACATTTATAAGTAAATAATAAAACCTTAACATCCCAACAACAACAACAACAAGGGGAGCAAAGTCAACAATATGCCAATGAAGAACCTGACCAAGAAAACTGTGAGAAAATGTTTGGCTTCCCCTGTAAACAATAATTTATCATCATTTACCATTCAACATTTCTAAGAGGTCTTTCAAATACTCAACATTTATAAAGTCCATGAAAAGCATTCATGAACTTACGATAAGAGGATAAATCTGTACAGCGCTCATGAAGGGAATTTGTTAATATGGACCAATAAACAAAATTTTTCTTTTAGCCCAGTGATTAACTCAACTTTTAGGAATTTATACCAAAGAATTGCCACATATGCACAAATATAAGAAACCCATTTAACTTTAATTTATAAACTTGCAGGCATATAGTTGAATAATAAAAAAAAAACTTCAAATATGACTTCAGCTTATACTTGTGTGTTTAAAATCTCATGTTATATAAACATGTTGATAAATGATTTTTTTTCCACTCACATTTTTTCTTCTTCAGATTCTTTACTCATTTTTCGATATCACTAGTGTCATTTTTGAACCACCTAACGTCATCTTCAGCCCCATCCAAATTATTGGACACATAGGCTTTTTTTTTTTAAGATTTTATTTATTTATTTGGGAGATAGAAATAGCACAAGCACTGGGGAGAGGCGGAGGGAGAAGCAGACTCCTCACTGAAGGGGGAAGCCCAGCGTGGGGCTGATCCCAGGACCCTGAGATCATGACCTGAGTGGAAGGCAGACACTTATCTGACTGAGCCACCCACGTGCCCCCATACAGGCCTTTTTGAATCTGTGTGGAATGCTGTCTTGGGAATTTTACTGCAAGTCACAGATACTGATTCACATGATATTAGGAGAGTTAATCTCCTATGTCCTGTGGGCTATCTTTTGGTCTCCATAATGAAACCACTTCCTGTATCGCTTCTTATAGAGCTCTTTAATAAAAGAGACTTGTTTACAAGGACATCTAATACTTGAAATTATAAGCTCATACTTCCCAAGAATAATTTTTAAATCTGTATTTGACTTCGACTACTTCTGTCAGGTGTGTAGACACATTCAGATACTACAATGAGCATTGATTGAGATCTTTAAGAGGAAATCACCTTCAAAACATTACATTTTGTTGAAGACCGTATTTGAAAGATTGTTTAGTAGTACAAAAGGTTTGTTTTTCTGAAAAGGTACAAATTTTATGAGAGGTAATTTTAGATGTAAAAAATAACTTTTGCCACATACTGGAACAGGTACAGTAATCAAACATTCTGCAAAGATTTATGAACAAGAATGTTTATTGAAGCACTATTTTTAAAACAGTAAAAAAGTAAAATGTCCAATGATAGAGGGTACCAAAATTACTATGCATCCATCAAGCTGAATACCATATACCTACTAAAATTCTGTGTTAAAAGAATGTCTAATAACTTAAGGAAATGCTCATAAAATAATAGGTGAAAAAAACCTTCTAACAAAATTGTAGGTGCCGATGTGAGGAAAATATATAGATTATTTGTATATTTGCATAGGAAAAGAAAAAAACTAGAAAAAAAATCACCATAATATTTTGGTGACTACCCTTGGATTGTGATATTTGGGATAATTTTGGTTTTCTTCTTACTTTTTTATCCTTTTAAAATTTCTTCTTGGTAAGACTGTGCTAGTTCTGTAATCAGAAAGACTTTGTTTTAAAAATAAAATGATCCATAAATTATTATTGGTGTTATTCTGATACATCGAAGGCTCCATTTTTCTAATTTTCCATGGTGAATACAATGTTATGATCGTAAGTCTATAACGCCACAGTGTGAAGTGTTTATCAATGACTGGTGGTGTCCCATTCAACTACTGAGCAAACGGATGCACAGCGCCCCAGTCTTCCATCAGGTTTGAGTAGATAGAAAGGAGGGACAGAAATAAACAAGAAGGCTGAGCCCTGTAGCATTCCCTTACTTTATTGCCTTCATTCTGGCTCTTTCTCACGCAGTGTGCTTTTGGTCTATCTGCAGTCTTTTTTCGTGGACCACAACAGTCGAGCTACCACTTTCATTGACCCCCGAATCCCTCTTCAGAACGGTCGTCTTCCCAACCACCTCACACATCGACAGCACCTCCAGAGGCTCCGGAGCTACAGTGCTGGAGAGGTAACACCCCCACGCCCCCTGCCACATTCACACCTCCACAGGCCCTGCTCAGGTGGGGTCAGAACCGTTTCAGTGGCTGGGATCTAGGATTGCCTGCTCCTCCAGGGGCTCCGCCATATCCACGCTGGTCTTTAAAAGAATGAGGAGTCAGGGACACCCACTGAACTCCTTAGACCCATCTTCAGATTGCCTTCCTTCTGCCTTCCCTTTTGTCCTAATAATCGCCACTACTAAAAATCTGTCTAGCTTGAAGGAAATTGAAAATGCGGTGTCCAGAGATCCCTACACCATGGCTGGAGCTGTGCTTCCTTAGGCCTGCCAGTCACATGTGAATTCCTAAAAGATCATACAGGGTATGACTGACATTAAACTTCTGGCTCTTCATAGATCCTGGAGAAGACATCAATAGTATATACATGGACTAAAAACTGGGGGAAATCCACTGGGGACATGAATACTCTCTTCCCATCCTACCACGTGCTCTTTCCTGGTTTATATCTTTATTCACTGCCTAGGGTTAACTTCCACTGAATCGTGAAACCTGCCATCCCTCTTAAACATCATGTGCATTGCCTTTCTGAACTACTATCTCTTTATCCCATACCATTTCCTAGCCTCCTTTCTCAAACGAAAACTCCAAACATAGCTCTTCTCTACTTTTAGTCAGTTCCTGGTAATATTATGAGCAAATCCCTACCTGACATTTCCCAAGTATTGGTACCATCCTAGAAACCACCAAGATCTCAGGAGATTATGGCCACTGAGAACCATTTCTCATAAAACAACTTGTAGAGTTGGATTACAATGAGGCAAAAAATGAAGTAGTACAGGATAAAAAGAAATGTGTGTGTGTGTGTGTGTGTGCGCTCCTCCCCACTGCCCCTGGGGGTCATTCCAGGGAGAACTAGGGTGAACATTTCAGGAGAAATGGGGAGAAAAACAATCCACCTGGCAGCCGCAGATAGCAAACATAAGTCTCAAGGGAAGAGCCTGTTGCTCTTGTATTGCTACCAGTTTACTACTTTTCTAGGGGAATCATCTGCATACTCTGACAGGTCTAACTCTTTCCAACCAAGGGCGCTCATGGTTTAAAGCCAGTGTGATAGAACGAATTTTTCTTTCATGGGTCATCTTAGGTATTGTTTTAGGATACTGCTGAAAACATGTTGATTCTTTCTTTCCTCATATATGTAAAATGTGTACATGGCCGTGCAGAGAAGAATATTGTACATCCCCAAGGGTTATGTGGGTGTCAGGACGCACACATAGCAGCACTCATCAGCAGATACACTTGCCGACTACAAAAAGCAGTGCCCCAACTTCCCAGCTCAACATGCATTGTATTCCTCTCTGGTGGCGCTTTCATAACACTTGAGAAAGTACAACATTTATGAGATAATAGTGGATAAATTCAAAAATCTGAGTCCTTTTTGAAATATGCCATTTAATTTATTTAAAATGTCCAAGCTCTTTAATATTATGAAGGCAATTTCAGCACTAATATAGAGTAACCCCATTTGACAAAAGAAGCTAAGTACTGAAGACAGGTTCACTGTCAATAAAACAAAAAGGTAGGTTACTCAATGTAAGATGAACCCCTAAAGATATAGATCTCTTACATTTATAAGAAAATAACCTGAAAATTCAAGTATTAAAACATTTCTGTTGAAACGAGATTAAAGTCATGAGTACCACTTGCAATACCTGTTCTGAAACACTTATTTAATGTGACTGACTAGCCTAAGCACAGTTACATTGAATATCAACAGTAATGACAAAGTACTACCTGCATCAGCCAAGAAAGACTGTAACACGTAACAATGAAAGGGTATAAATGTGCATCAACCATCTGTATTCTTGCTAATTCATTCACTCTCCAGTTGACTCAGTTGATCAGGTTTTTAAACCCCTCCCATCCCTCTGCGCATCCTCTGTCCACTGGTAGCTTTGCGCTGACACAAGGAGAAACCAAGAAAAGCAAAAAAGAGAGAAACTGGGAGGCAGAGAATAGCTGACCCAGAGGCAGCATACCAGGGAAAACAAAGACCCAGCGTCTGTGAAAATAAATATCTGGTTCCTCCTGCTGTGAGAGCCCAGAGCCTAGGGAATGAGAAGACAGGAGGATCTTGATATAAAAACAGAAGGAGGGGGTGGTGGGAAATGTTAATTGTGTTTGCTGTGATGTGATTTTCCTCAACAAACATTGATTAAGTGCATGGCTTGCTATGAGCACTGTGGAATGCAAAGAAGTATGAGATATGATCCCTGCCCGGGAGAATTTTGTATTCTATGTTTGAAGCCAGGCCAAAAAACACAGAGTTAAGTAACAAGAACAATTAGAATATGATTGAGTGCCAAGAGAGATGTTAGGACAAGTGCCACAGAAGTTCAAAAGAGGCCAAGGAAAGGCATCTTTAAAGTAAGGTACTTGACCTAACCCTAGAAAATTGGTAGAATCTAGCCAGATACAAAGGAAGAGGAAGAGGAAGGGCAACCCCACAGAGAGCCCGCGTGAGCAGAGGTGCAACGGTAGGATCGAGAAAGGTCAGTAGAGAGACAACGAATAGTTCAGTGTGACCAGAATACTGTTTCCACTTGGGTTTTGTCTTGGTTTTTGTAAAGTTTTGAATATCACATGGTTGGCACTTTCTCATGAGCCCACTGAATGAATTTGAGAGGAATACCATGATAATTTTTTGTGTAAAAGTGGGCTTTAGAGGAGAAGACTATTGGCATTTTGAGGACACTTCTGTAACGTATAGAATTGTCCCATGCCATTGCAAGACCTTTTTACCTGGTCCTGTCCATTAAATGTCAGGAGTGCCCTCACCTCACCAATCACTGTGACAACCAAAACAAAAAACAAAACAAAACACCTCTCAGCATTTCCAAATATTCCCATGTGGTAATACCACTTCAGTTAAGAATTGTGTTTTATGGTCAGGCAAACTTAAATATCAAAAATTCAGGTCACACAGGGAGTTCAAGACCACAGTTCATATCTAAGTCCCAGTCCAGTGTAAAGTAGTATTTTAGAAAGGAGACAATGACGGCCAAGAAGAGGAAAGAAAAGAGTGATCTGCGAGAGTGGCCCCATTCATTAGCGGCCACTGGAGGTGGCAAAGAGACACAAGATGAAGGACACCCTGTGGGAAGAAGCCTGCAGAGGTCAAGAGGTGGGAAGAAGGGGTACCTGGGACTTCAGTTAGCAGATGGAGTCTCAGCTCCAGCTTCTCCACAGAGTAGGTGTGTGTCATTACTCCTTCCTTTCCTCTCTGGGGCCTCAGTTCCCTCATCTGCAAGTGGAGCAAGGGAACTCGATGGCCAGCTCTGTGATTCTCAGTCTGTGAGGCTTGAGGCACATTAACAACGCACA